TTCGGAAACTACTTCGCTGTACTTGGAACTTCGATATGGAGACAGCGAAGTAGTTTCCGAAAAGTTAAATGATTCTAGGAACAAGATCGAAGAGCTTTCGGGAGAGAGAAAATTTTTAGGTGTCCCAGAATTTATGAAAACAGCTGTAAATGCCGTAATTACTTTTTTATTAAGATGGGCAATTTAGACACCACACCCATGTATAAATGAAACTAAAGTATCGTAGAAACTATATAATTTTCTTTTGTATTAAAAATTTTCATCATATCACCGTTTTGAATTTGCCCTTGCCCATTTTAAGTACTTATTACAATGGTTGTGGCTCAATTCCCCAAAAGTTATTTCCCCGACACCATAATGCCGACATGCTATTTCATCTAAAGCACATTTTTTCGATAATATATTCGACATTACATTTTTCAGCATTTCTTTTCTGAGACAGGACATTTTCCCGACAATCATTTCCTCGACATAAAATTGGCACGATCTAGCATTAGAGTTGGTCTGATTTAGAGCTAATGTTGGTTAAAATTACATGTCGGAGAAATAATTGTCGGGGAAATGTCTTGTCTAAGAAAAGAATTGTTAAAAAAAATGTAATGTCGAATACATATCTTATCGAAAAAGTGCACTGTAGATGAAATAGCATGTCAACATTATGTTGTCGGGGGAATGAATTGGCGGGGAAAGTAACTTTCGGGGAATCATACCGTAATTATTACAACTATTTTCTCAGAAAAATCTTCAGATTTCTAACGTGTGCAATGCTTGAGTGATTCATTTAACATTATATAATTAATAAATAGCGTTAGAACGAAAAGAAAATGTTATATTTTGATAATTTAAAAAACATAATAATAGTCGTCATCATTGTTACGATGTACAATTAAACATCATTAAAATTATTAATATTAATGAGCAATAATAATTCTGAATGCGCTGTAAACTATATGGGTTCCCGGTATCGTAAAAAAACGTATATAGTTAGGATTCCCTGATAAGAAAGATAATCCTGTGAATATAAATTTGTGACTCATGACGCTTCAAAAGTTCAAACGTAATAAACGATAATTACACGGAACCATAAATCGGGTTTTAGATTGTTATTTGACTTCATACATTAAAATTATTACGCCAATACGTTAAAAATACACCATATACGCCAGAGCTAAACTAAATTATGTTAACGAAGTAATCGAAAAAATAACTGATGCATAATTTATGAATTAAAGAGTATTACGATTAATTGGGTAATTGAAAGTGGCGTGATTAATCGAATACTGTATCGAAAAATCTTGCATAAAGAAAAAAAATAATCTGCATGATTATCTGATTTTATTAAGGCTTGCATATGTATCTTATCAGTAGCTTGATAAAGTTGATAAGATAACATTTATTCACACTAATACTAATATATTTTCATACTGAATTAATAACCCCTGACTATCATCTTTATTTATGAGAGCTGCAAAACGAAAATCTGGAATTACGAGTTTTCCGAACAGTCAAACTCCGAAAAACAATATAATTTATGTTGCGCTTAATTTAAATTTATCAGAGCCAGATCAGAAAGAGGAGCCGGCAAAAACCGAAATTACAGATTTTCGCTTTACAGTACTCATATCTAGCAACGTGCGTACAGTAGTACGTACGTACCTGATCGACGATCATAAAAAAATGCCTTGACTTATATATACATGATTCGCAGAGTATACTTAGAAAATTTTATCGCTTCATAACTATAGAAAGTTACAATACAATGTATTTTTTATGTTATTTTTATTGCGCATTAAGTACGTACCTCGTATATTTTCTGTTACGGTATATGCCTAAGAATAGCATTTTCCTATTGTATTAATTTGTTTAATTCATGTTTTTTTTTACGATATCATTTTTTTTCGTGGAAAAATATTACGTAGTCAATGCAGCAAATGCATAATGGAAATGTCATTTATAGTAAGATCCTCCTCAGATGATTACGATTATATATACACATTTACATGTGATTTAATGGCATGATTTTCATGATATTTTAAAAAAAGCAGATGATAAATGACAATAACGAAAATTTCCGATCCGATTAAATTACGCATAAATTTTAATTGTCGGAATTTTTCGTTAATTTGAAGAAAATTACATCACTACACATTTTGCTCGATGATTAGTCATTGGCAATTTTTCATGCGTCTAAAAATTTATATAAAAATATCCAAAAAAAAATCATAATCAAAAAAAAAGAAAATGTCGTTATCTATCATTTTTGACCATATTTTTGGCAACTTTTTCGCATTATTAACTCTAATAACACTTATTTATGTCTTTAACTTTTATTTCAAATACTTCACACGGCCTAATCCTCTTCCGGGCCCTTTTCCACTTCCAATTATTGGTTCACTTTATACTAAATTGAATTATTTATCAGATGGAAAAGCTTGGATGAAAATGCTTAATGAATCTTATGGTGATTTATTTGAATTATATATTGGAAATAATCGTGTGATTAACATTTGTAAAGCTGAATATATGGAAAAGTTATTTATATCTTCATCAAAAAATAACAAGTTTCCACATAGATTTGGTCATTCCGAAGGACTTAAAGAGTTAGGAGATAATGATGTTGGATTAATAGGAAATGCAAATCTTGAATGTTGGAAATCTAGTAGACTTTTTTTTAATTCAATGCTTCTTCCAAGTTTTTGTGAAAGAGCTTGTGACGCGGTGAACAGGTTATGGAAAGAAATGGAAAGTAATTGGTCATCTTATTATAATGATTCGAAAAATGAATTTGAAATCGATATGACAGAATGGATTCGCAAATTTACTGCCAGTATGACATTCGAATTAAATTTGGGCATTAAAACGTCCTTGATTCAAGAAAATAAAAATTTGATAAGTATGCTTGATATGTACTTGACTTCTCTTGAATGGTTTCTTATTCACCCTTATTGGATGAGACATTATATACCATTCATGCGTGCCCATACAAAAAGGCTCCTAAAGAATAGGGATGATTTATTTGACATTATTTCGAAAATTATCAATGAACGAAGAAAAGAAATTGAAAACTCGTTGATTAATAAAGATGGAAAAGCTGAACAAATGAATGATATGCTTTCGATGATGATAATATCTAATACATCTCTCATTGTCGATAATTCTGCTGATGATTTAAGTTCGGAATTTAAACGACCAATGACTGAACATGAAATTATTGGAAATGTATTGGATACCCTTTTTGGTGGAATTGCTACGGTAATATATGATTAAATCTTAACTTTATAATCAATCGTAATGTTTAATAACATCTAATTTATTAAATTGTAGACGGCAAGTGTATTTATTCATATTGTTCATGTCTTAACAAAATATCCGAAAGTAGTGCATAAATTTCGTCAAGAACTCGATTCGGTATTTGGAGAAGATCGTGAACATCCGATCACAGTGCATGATCTTTCAAAACTTAAATATGGAGAGGCAATAATCAACGAAGTTATGAGGTTTAATCCAGCACTTTTTAAAGTGGGATCACGAGTAAGCACCGAACGCGAAGAAGTTGCCGGATACATGTGGCCTAAGGGTACTGCATTTCATATAAATGTTGAGAGAATACACCTTAACAAATCCCATTGGCAGAACCCCGAAGTATTTGATCCTGATAGATTTATGAACAATGACAATATATCAAAAAATGCATTGATTCAGTATGGAGGTGGCGCTCGAATGTGTAAGTATTTAATATTACAGATTTTATAAATCTTAAGATTCATATAAACAATTAATTTATTATTTATTGATTTATATCTTGATTTGTAGGCCCCGGACGGAAATTTGGGTCTATTATGGTTAAAGGAATGATGACAATGTTATACAGAAAATATGACGTTGAGTTAGTGTGTGAAGAAGATATAAAATATTATAGAGATTATCTTCTCGCTTATTATCAAAATTTTGTTACAAAACTTAAACCTAGAAATGATCAAAATTCATAAAATTTGTCGTTAAATATAGAAGTTTTTATTTTTCGACATGTTAAATCAATTTATTTTACATCATCTACATTATTTTTTTTTTTGACCTCCTAAAAGAGGATCATCTACATTATTATTCGAAGAGTAGCTAGCTTACTTCTTAAAATTGCGTAATATATATATATACATTATGTTAAAATGCTAAAGTTGCTGATATGTAATGATTTTTAGGTAAACCAAATAAACAATTCAAATTGATTTGTATTTTTTTATATCAAATATAGGTTATTTGTAAAAGTAAAATGTTGATCCCTGATTTTTTGAAACCCTACTTATTTCAGGAATATATTTATGGAATGCGTTAACTTTGAAATGGCCTAATATACTCGTATGCCTAAGACAAGATCATATCACTAAGTTTAACTAGTAAAATCATAAGATAATGTCATATAACTTAAGTGATATGACCTTTTCATAGCGACAGGCCAACATTGACTGGCTTATCACAACAAAATTGTCGCGGCAGATCCTCGATTTTGATTGGCTAACGGCCGAGGATCTTCAAATACTGGCCCGCATTACATAATTGCTTACTAATTTCCGGCCGGGATTAACTTTTTGACTTTTTCATTACAAAAATAGAAATTTTTATAAAATAAGCCCGCATTATGGTAAAATTGGCCTAATTTTTTTGGATAGCATAGTGATGGCGCAAAAATTTGGCGGTCCCGTGATCACCGGGCCAATTGGACTTAAGCTCGGAAAATACCCAAGATGGTTGATATAACTGATTTATTACCCATCTTTATTTTTTTGAGCTTAAGTTTTGTCCGATTGGCCCGGTGATCACGGGACCGCCAAATTTTTGTGCCATCACTATGCTATCCTAATTTTTTGATCGTCGCTCTTAGCCAATCAAAACCGAGAATCTGCCGTGTCTTTTTGAAAATAGCTTTTTAATTGTACAAAATGTATTTATAATAATCGTGAGAAATATTCGTAGAATATTTTTTGGTTTCGCTTTATATTAGGCTAGTTTTCTTGCCCAACCAACACAGGTTTTACACTCATATATATCAATAAGTTAAATTACGTTTGTTATATTTATTTTATTTTATTTTAAGAAAGTTAAATTATGTCTACACATTACTGCATCCTGCATCACCTCTAGTGTTAGAGTTATAATTAAAACTTAAAGATGCTCGCAAGCACCTTCTTCAATGTGATTAGCTAATAATCGAGATCGGGTACAAGTACTATGATTAATTAAAGTAACCTTTATGGCAATTTTGCTAAAGATTCATATTATTTAATGCAGATGTTAAAATTTTAGTCAAACAGCATGATTTTATGATCAAAAAATGATGCTCAACATTTTTTTTTCATTGCGATAATGAACTCTGTAATAAAAATTAACAATAACCTTATCCATTGCTGAGAATAAAATATATGAGAATTTATTACGTAATTAATTAATTAATTAATTAATTAATTAATTAATTAATTAATTAATTTATTTATTAATTTATTTATTAATTATTTGTTTTACTATGTATTTAGGGATGGCAGAAATCATGATTTAAATCGATTTTTTTGATTTAAAAATGATTTACAAATGATTTAAATCATTCGTTCTTATTACGTAATCAAATTATTTTATATTCAAATTCTGACTTTGAATGCGGTTTTCAAATCCACAGAATCTCCGATGTTTACATGATATAGTGTCCTACAAGGTTACTAAAACACATACTAAATGATTTAAATCTGCTTTAAATTGATTTAAAATAAAAATCAGTGATTTATATCATCGTGATTTAAATCACATGCCATCTCTATATGTATTACATTGGCTGTCGCCCTCCTTACTCATGTAACTATTGTCCAATAGGCCATAATTTTAGCAATTTCTGTAGTTCAAGAAATTTTTTAGTCTTTTCGATCGATTGAACATGTGACCGTAACTGTGTCTGTTATATGTCCGATAGGGTGAAAAATTCAAGATAAAGTTATCTCGACATTCACGTATTGGGCAACTATTTAAATGGCAAAATAGAAAAAATGGAATATATATTTACAGTAATATTAAAATATAATAATGTAAACGTAAATACCAACAAGCCTTTTATTTTATTGTCGTTTTTGATTATTAACTATATTCTTTTAAAACCGCCATTGTGAGCAACATTTAAAAATAAAAGGATAATAGACATGAAAATTAGGCCTATGCCTTAGAGTGTGGAAAGATGACTAAATTATGTAATAGAAGAAGTGACCGAATTATGCAGCGAACTATTCATATATGGGGTGCTTCATTTAAAAGGGTTTATTTTGACAATTTTTCAAATTTTTTAATTTGATTTTTGAATAGACATATGGGGTGAGTCAATACCATATCCTTTTTAAACAAATATAATTTAATCAAATTTAGTAAAAATTTTTTTAAATAAATTTTACAAGCTTTTAGAATTGATTTAAAAATTAAAGCTTTAAAAAAATTTACACGGAAAAACTCACCCCAATATACATTCAATAAAAAAGTTTGCTACGTACATATAAGTTACGAAAGACTTTTCTATTATAATTAATCACGAAATGAACTTTTAGGTTGAAAACTTTGTTTCTATTTGTAGATTATTACTTAAATTCGGTTATTCAAAATTGTTTACCGTTACATGTGAAAATGTGCGTGACACTCCGTATGTTTATTTCCATGTACTGTACGTATGTACGTACGTACAGCCAAACCCCTACAAGTGGTCCAGACTCTTGACAATATGCATTTAGAGAACAAATAAGAAAAATATCTTATATGATGGGTTAGAATTTGGAATTATATTTAGAGAGATGATACATTTGAGAAATGTACTTAGAGGGGTCTACACATGCTACAATGAAAATTATCAAAATTGTTGTGTATATAGTTACACGAACATATCCATGTTAGAATTTAGAATTTTCCGGCAACAAACACTAATGGATATATTACAACCGCAGATTATTATAATAAGTTCAGTTTTTTTTTTAAAAAAATATAAAAACCCGCGGAGGTATTTGTTTTTTCCCGTTAGTGTGTTACAGGTAAGAACGTTGGTTATACGACTGATTTTTCACACGGTGTGCAACATATAAAAAAAATAATTTCATCATTCCGCTAGTACATGTTATGATTATAATCCAACACCATTTTTACTAATAAAAATGGTGTTGGATTATAATCATAACATGTACTAGCATGATGAAATTATTTTTTTTATATGTTGCACACCGTGTGAAAAATCAGTCGTATAACATCAACGTTCTTACCTGTATTAGTGTGTAGATCGTACCTGCCGGAAAAATTCAGCACGATATATGAGTGCTGCCAAGGGAAAAAGGCCGATCGGACTTTTAATATATTTTGTGCACAGTTAGCCGTCTATGGAAAATTTATCATCATAATAAACTTTCATAGATGGTTAACTGTACACAAAATATATTGAAAGTCCGATCGGCCTTTTTCCCTTGGCAGCACATATATGGATATATGGACATTGAAGGAATGATGTCAGCGTGTGTACTTTGTTATTATCGTACCAATACCCGTGTATCCTTCATCGCATCATGTCGGATAACTATTGATGTGACTAAATAAGAGTACAACTGATCATTTTAGAAGTTATTAAAGAATGACAACCTTTTTTATGTATTCAAAAGCATAAAAAGACCTTTATTATTCAAGTAAGGCATACTTATATAGTCTTTCTCAAAGTAACAATATCATATATTGAATACAAAACGTTGTTTTTTGTTTAATTGAAGCCCGCGCAATTGTTATCAGAACAATGCTGTACTGCTAAATAAAGCTGTAAATTCAGACCTTGAATGGAAATAAAATATTAGAAATATTCTTGACAGTATTCTAACATAGCATTCTAGAATATGCTACAATATCATAACCGCCTCTAATGCGGGTTTCACATTTAAATGTTATTTAATAAGTCTCTACTTTTTTATCATAAATATTGTTGTTGGAATTGCAAACATTTATGCGTTTACAATGGTTACAAAGTGCACCGTTTATGCGTCTGTAGACTATACCTCATCACTCCATTCTGATGTGCACAACATTGAAGCACAAAGATAAACAAATGTACGAACTCATATTTAACTAAATGTAATTTAAAATTTATTTTCATATTGAGAATAAATGTTTGTTAATTATTTGCAGAAAAACTGTCATAATCAATCCGTATTGTTTTTTTAAAAAAAATTTTACATCTATACATCAACATTATATAATACATTCATTACATACATAAATTACGAATTCCTTTGAGATTCTTTAAATTGTCTTAATATCTATGAATGATGTAAACGATGTCCAAAGAATATAAAGATTTTTTCACCAATGCGCCAAATAAGCAAGTTCGGAAACACAATTTAGAATACTTTAATAATCCTGATTTTGAAAACAAAGATATAAATGAAGTAACTTCTCTGTTACTAGACTCGTATAAAACTTGTAATGGAAGGCGATTTGTGAATGATGATGATATAAATTGCATATTTCCATCTGATAAAGTAGAACTTGAAAGATCAACTTTATCGCATTTATTAAATAAACATCAATGGAAAGGAAATTTTCGTTCGCCGATTAAAGAAAAGTTGAATACGAGTGGTGCTACTATTCTTGATATTGGGTAACTAACTATATTATAATTAATTGTTTAATGTATCTTTATTTATATTATAATTTTCTTTTATAAAAATTTTTGTCGTAAAATTTTTTTTATCACAAGGTGTGGCCCAGGTCTCTGGGCGATAGATATGGGATTAGAGTATCCATCGTCTTCAATTATAGGAATTGACATTGATTCCTCTAACTTTCCATCAAGTGATCAATGTCCCTCAAATGTTTGTTTTCTTGCATGCAATGCAATTCATGGTATTCCATTTCCTCAAAATACTTTTGATTTTATTCATATGAGTATGATGTGGGGCGCATTTACTGAGGATCAATGGATTGTTGTAATCAAAGA